CGGCTGCCGCAGCCGCGCCGGAGCCGCGGGGAGCCCCGGGACGGGGCGGGCTCGGCCCCCCGACACCCCCGGGCACCGCGCCGGCTCTGGAGTCTCACAGCCGGCTGAAACAAACCCTGCCCCTCTCCCAGCGCCCCTCCTGCCAGGGCATCTTCAACCTGCCGAGAAGGTGTTCTCTACTCCTCTCCCGACAGCTGATGCTGCTTCCACACGGCCGCGCTGCTCCAGAGATCTGGTCGGCAGGATTCAGACACAGATCAGCAGCTACGGCGTTCGGCTTCCCCAGCCTTCACATTCTGAAACGCCCAAGCAAGGTCAAGCAGACACACAGGGTGGATTGGTACTCGGTGCCGTTGCACCTAGAAAGAATTGTTATAGATTATTTAAATAGAAGTCAAATAGGAAATTCTCTCTCTAGATTGGTAAGGACTCTGCTTACAATACCCAGCACTTGAAGAGGCAAAGTATGAGAAACTACCCTGTAGGAATGGTAAAAGAACTAACCTGTTTTAACTTTTCGGTTAGATATTAATCAAGTTAGATCTTCTTCCCATGGTCTTCATAAAGCTTGGGAACACAATAAACCAAGTCAAAGCAACTAGAAGGGTAATAATGAATTTGAGATGAACAATAATGACCACCATTAATTAATTGCTTTTTGAAGCTGCCTGTCAGATAGTATAAATTAAACTTTTGAATAGTTACTTACATGTCAAGTGTTTGTGGGGCTTTTGCAAGTGCCTGAAAGAGGGAACTGAGGATACTTGCAAAGTCTCCACGAACCAAGGAAAGTCTATAGCAGAGAAAGCAACACATAAAACATTAACATTAAATCAATGCTTTGTGGAGAAACGTCTTACGTTAAGCTAAGCTTTATCTTAAATCATATTTAAAAGCTCGTGCAGTATACAAATCAATATTGATGCCATCTAAAATACACCACTATCATCTGCACTGATAAATGCCAGTTTTCATCCAGGGCAAAGTGACTTCTTGGAAGAATTTCAAGGACTTACAATCTCTTCTGGCATCTCAGCAACTGAAGCCAAAGCTGTTCTCTTCTGCCAGCTTCAGGCTCTGCTCCAGCACACTAAAACTGGTTTTAGATGCCATCATGTTCGTCATACAAGGAAGAGAAGTAAGGTCACCAGAATCATTTTTTCATTTGATTTCCAGGCTTTTAAGCTAAGCAGTTTTATGTGTTTTCAGAAGATAGTAACTTACACACAACACACCTGGAAAAAACTGGCCAACTTGGATGAGAACAGCACTAAATACGGGTGTCTTCCAGCTACTGTGATCATGTCTTTCATGTTAATGTAGTCACCATTCTTCCTGGAGCTGTTGTCCTTTATGGTCAGCAATGGTATAGTGAGGAAACATAGCCGACCATATGGAAGACAAAAATAACATAACTGCAGCATCTCTCAAACCTTGCAAAAGCCAATCAAAATGGAGGCATTTAAAATTTTCCACTTGAAATTCAAACTTCAGGAGAAAATACTTAAACCCTTCCTGCCCAGCCTGGTTTCCACATTTCTGAAGAGGCCCAACACAGGCTGTGAACCATCTGCCCTTGAGTTTACATGAGCAATACAAGCCTATAGCAACCATCTCCTTCCAACAGCTAACTTCTGCTCCACTATGC